GCGAGGCTCGGTTCGTCTACACCATCGGGCAGGCTGGCTATGTCCGGGACTTGTTGCGTGCACATGGCCTTAGTGATGTCACGCCCACCGCGTTGCCGGCGCCAAAGGAGTGGATTGACAGGCTGGCTCAACGGTACGTTGGTGAGTTGCTTTGGCTGGGAACTCGCACAAGGCCAGATGTGATGTTTGTGGTCTCCCATGCTGCAAGCTGTGTTTCGAAGAAACCGGGCTATGTTGTTCGACTTGGACAAAGGGTCATGGCCTACCTTGCAGGCACCACCGACCTAAAGATGACGATGGGGCCAGTAAACATGCCAGAGCAGCTGGAACTCATCGCGTTCACGGATGCATCATACGCCCCATTCGGGCGTCGATCCTTTGGTGCCGCCGTGATAACTTTCTTGGGATCGCCGATAGCATGGAAAGCAGGACGTCAGAGTTTTGTGACTCTTTCGGTGATGGAATCGGAGCTCTACGCAGCTACTCAAGGATGCACGCTGCTAAACTCTGTATATGCCTTGTTACAAGAACTTTGTCCACAAGGAGTCTGCCGAGTGCTGGCTGTGGATAATACGAGTGCTGTTTCAATGCTGAGCGGCGGCCACGGCTCACAGCGCACGAGGCACTTGAAGATCCGTGCCCACTATGTGAGAGAGGCAGTCGAGGCGGGCGAGTTAGTTGTGCGCCACACCCCAGGAAGTGAGCAGCTGGCCGACCTCTCTACCAAAATGCAGTCAAAATTGCGGCTGCAACAGCTGCTGCGCCTTTGGGGCTTCGTTGGGGTTGCCATGGATGTCTTGCAAGCGATGAAGCTTAAGCTTTTGGCGGTCTTCGTGATGTTGGCACAGTGTGTATGCCCATCAAGAGCTCAAGAGCAACGGACTAAGGATCCGCTGCCGGCTACTACGTGGGATGAGATGGTCTGTCTGCTTGTTGTAGTTGCAGTCGTTGCCGTGCTCATGTGGGAAGGACTACGCTGGGTTCGGCGGTGTGTTCTTCGGACCTACAAGCGATGGAAGAAGGCAAGAAAGTTGGAGATTGTTTCCCAGCTAGCTTCTTCTGCGGCAAGGAGAGAGATTGCAGCGACTAGGCGGACAGAGACTGAGGAGCCCCTGAGCGACCTCAGGAGGAGGACGACTACTACCCCTACTCGGACGAGGGAATCTACTGCCGGAGCTACACGGACGTCGTCGCCTATGAGTACGCCCTCGATCGCGAGGACGCCAAGCTTGCCTACAACGCCGCCAATGCAGCAGCCAAGTTCTTCTTCTTCGGGGAGACGTGTGACACCTCCTCCGTTGCCAAGGTACACTAGGCATGAAGAAGACGCCGAGCGACTACGGATTTGCAAAGATACTTTACAGCTTATGACGTGCGAAGACTTGAAGTCCGCGCTTCGGAGCGAAGGAATGCCTGTTTCAGGCGTCAAGGCAGATCTTGCTGACCGTTTGATGTCGCGCTTAGCTGGTTGCGACGCCACAAACAAGCAGCTCCGCTATGTCCTTTACTTGTGGAGAGTGAAGTCTTTGAACTACAAGTGCAAGCTACGATGGGAGGACATCAACAGCAAGTATCGGATCTCGGCATGGATAGCTGCCTGGAAGGACGCCTAGGCAATATCTGGAGCTTTAATTAACATGAGCCGAACAAGGCGTGGAGCGCCTTTCATTCCGTAGCAACATGTCTCATAGTGCCTATCGGCGGGACGCCGGAGGCAAGGAGGAGTGTTGAGGGAATTCGTCGCTGAACATGTTGTCAATGCTGCTCTCTGGCTTAAGCTTGATGCTGAGCCAAAGAACCTTGAGTGTGAACTCTCAGCTGGCAGGTGTAAAGGTACAGATGCTAGCAGTTCACTTTTGTAGCCGAAGCTTCTAATCTTGTACAACTCCAGAAGCTAAAGCTTGATGCTTTCGACCTTTGAGGAAGGAGAAAATTCCGCTCGCGCCTCGGCATGGCCTTGTCTCTGTAAACCCTTGAACTACTCTGCTCCTTAAGCGACCAACATGATCCACGGTGATCTTCATATTCGTAGGTGCACTGCTGCAGGTATGCTTTGTAATCGGAATGTCTGTCCCAGCTTCTTAAGGTTTAGGGTTTTGGGTTTTGACGAAGGGAGGGCTCGGATGGTTCGCTTGCGTATTGAATCCGATTGAAGTTAACCCCAGGTCCTAGACATTTACAGGTTGTGCCAAATGGGGTGTCGTGCAGTGCCTGTCTTGTGCAGAATGGCCGCCGGGCTCAGGAACCTAGAGTGGCGTCATATAGGGGCCTTCATAAGTACCTATACTAGTTTGGGGGGTTCCTGATTATATTCATAGTATAATATACCCCCCAAACCCTATTCTAATCATTCAGGCCCTTACATTTCCCTGGTATTCTTATTGCTCTGCTCTTACTTCTCCCTGTGGTCAATTGCAATCGGCGGCGCGTCTGCCCAACTCAAGTCATCTTTTGTAGAAATCAAGAACGCTTGTTCGCTTCCTTTTACCCTTACCCTCACAGGACCCTTATTTGAAGGTTGTTGGGCCCAAAGACCCTAGCTCAAGCACGACCCTATGATTAAGCCTTAGGCTTTGGGATTTGGGGCACGTCCTGTGCCTCCGATAGTGAGCTATCGGAATGCTGGACGTCTGGAGCACATCTGGGAATAAAGTCACCTCCATATCAGTTGAGGAGCTGACAGATGTGCGGGAATTGAAGAAGCAGTTGAAGCTTAGATAGCCCATGGGAGAACTTTAATTTTGTTGGTTTTATATATTTTTTCTACTTTACAAAGATTGAACTTTTCTTGGGCCCGGTTATTGAAGAAGACAGGACGGAGGTTTGTGGTGTGACGCGATTTAGGCAGAGGCTTCTGCACGAGCAAAAGGCCTTGGAGGATGAGTTCAGGCTTGACGCGCTTGACCCGCCTTTTGACCTTCATCTGGTGGTGCTACCCTTCTCTGATGTGTCTGACGATGAGGCGATTGAGCTGCGAGAAGCAGCTTCTGATGGAAGGCTTGGTCGTGTGGAAGAGATTTTGCAACGGCCGCAGCATCCGGACAGCTTCATGGCGAATCGCGACTTCATGATTAATCTCGGTCGGTTTCAGGACAGACGCGTACGCAAGCTTGCCAAACAGACACCATTATTTTGGGCATTCTACAGAAAGAACACTGAGATTGCATGCCGATTGCTAGAAGCTGAAGCAGATGTGCACAAGGTCTGCAAGGAACCCGTGACTCTTCTTTGCTGGGCATGCTATAACGGCGAAGTTGAAACATCACAGCTCCTCTTGAAGGCTGGCATAACTAGCGATGCAGATGACGGCACTTTGCTGACACTGGCATCACACGAAGGCCAAGCGGGCATTGTAGGCCTGCTGTTGGAGGCTGGAGCGGGAATCAATAAGGCTGCACGGCCCCGCTTGACCAATCGTGCATTGAGACACGACACTAGAAAAGCAATTAAGGGAATGACACCTCTCGCAATAGCGTGTGACAAAGCTCACATTGAGATCGTGGACCTACTGCTGCTTGCGACAGCCGATGCCAACCAGGCTTCAGCAAGAGGGACCCCTCTTGCTTTGTCAGCCAGCAAGGGATGCATCGAGATTGTGCACTTGTTGCTAGAATTTGGGGCCGATTCATCTGCCAGAGGTCACGTGGACTCAAATGTGGACAGCTTGGAGGATTTATACGATTGCGAGGTCTCGATGTGCCACGCAACACCGCTTGCCCTGGCATCTAGACGCGGCGATGCCGCCATTGCACAGCTGTTGTTGCAGTCCGGCGCTGATCCGGCCGATGATGGAGAACCACTCACAGGGGCGTCAGGCAACGGCCACATGGAAGTGGTGAGATTGCTCTTGGAGGCTCGTGCCAATGTGAATGCCTTCGGAGACTACGGTCATGCACCTCTAGGCGCGGCTGCCCGCAATGGACACTGGCAAATCGTCAAAGTGTTGATGGAAGCAGGGGCGGCCGCTAACCAGGCCGCAGGCCATGACACGCCTCTCGGCCTAGCATGCGGCTGCGGCCATCTTGAAATCGCCAGGCTCTTATTGCAGTCACATGCAGACAAGGACAAAGTTGAACCCGATGGCATCACTCCTCTGGCCATGGCTGCGCGTGGAGGCTCCATTGACACTGCACTCTTGTTGCTGGACGCTGGTGCCGACAAGGAGAAGGTTGGAAGAGCACAAGGTTTTACGCCTTTGTGGTTGGCGTCGCGCGAAGGCCATGTGGAGATCGTGCAGTTGCTGTTGGATGCTAGATCCAGTACGGAAAAGGTTTGCGGACCACAAAATGCAACACCTCTCTGGGTAGCATGCCGGGAACGACACGAGTCTATTCAGCTGCCTCTCAGGTCAGCTTGCACCAGTGCAAGTGATATCGATACGGCTACGCACAATCACATCGCACCCATGCTTGCTGCGACAGCTACGAGTGTCTGCGCGAAGCGACCGCGTTATTCGTAGGAGTCTCGACTTGTTTACAAGAATATGAGATTGAAGTTACGATAGCTACTACAGCCCTAAGGTAGGGGCATCACTGATAGGAGCTGATACTTCAGATATTGCAACATGATGGAATGCCCGCTGCAGTGTTTGCGAGGACACACAGTCGTGTGCAACCCTTAGCCGAGACAGTCGGTCAGCCAAGCCGGGGGAGAAAAAACGACGTGATGAACGAGCTCATGTGGGTGTTGGTCTTCATTGGGTGTAGGGCTTATAGGGTTTACCAATAGGGCGTGGGTATTTTTTGTAGGGTTTCGCAAGGTGTCTGTTTTGGTTCGGGCTCGTGTGTGCATGCCAAGGGCATCCTATGCCGTTGCTTCCTGGACACTGCGACTCCATGACGTGAGCCTTAGCCCTTAGTGCCCAGAATTTGCGAATTGAGTTTTAGCCAGGCTTCTCCGAATGCACCGGATGATGCTCATAAATGTTAAGTTAACCCTAAGCCCCCTAAACCGGAAACCCGTAATCCTTAGCAGCAAACCTTTGAAAACTGTCCGGGCAGGCATTGCAGCTGCAGAAGCAGTTGGCTGCCAAAGTGCAGGTTGGGCCCTTCGCTTCAACTCTCTGTGTTCCGGCAATGCAGCAACAGATTCCGTAACCATTCAATACACGTGGTGTTCTTCTGGTTGACTCCTAGGACTTTAACTTTTTGGGTCCCATACTGTATGAACAGTAATAAAGAAACTACAAGTTTAACATCTTGGAGGGGTTCAGCCAAGGTCCGTAGTGTATCTTAAGTCCTTGGATCTTGCTGATGGTTGGGTTTAGGGTTTAGGGTTTAGGGTTTAGGGTTTAGCTCCTACTGCATTTTAAGGGTGTTTCTCGATGAAGGGGTTTTAGGATGCGTAAAGGATCACCGCCTTCTGCATTTGCAGGGTTCGGGTTTAGCTAGTTTAGCTGCTTTAGATGGCATTTCTATGTGACATGCTGGTCAGAACCCCTACCCTGTAGTAGCCCAACATTAGGCCCTTTATGCTTTATGCCCTAACCCAGAAAGCTCCTCCAAAGTATTAAGCCCAAAATTTTCAAAAACGGACGCCTTTCAACTCCAACAAAAACCCTGACGACCAAGCCGGGGTCTTAACCCTATGCCCTAAACCCTAAACCCTGAACCAAGCCTCCATCAAGGCCCAACCCCCGCAGGCCTCAAGCCTAAACCCCGAAACCCTATCATAAACCCTATAAACCCCGAAAGCTTAAAACTGAAACCCTAAACCCCTAAACCCTAAACCACCAAACCCTAAACCCTAAACCCTAAACCACTAAACCCTGAATCCCGAAACCCTGAAACCCTAAATGCTCGATCCCTGAAGCCCAGAAGCCCTCAACAGTAATTTTCTGTAGATTTCAAGAATAAACTACAGACCCCACAGTTTAGGGTTTAGGGTTTAAAGGTCTAGGGTTCAAGGGTTTAGGCCCAAACCATCCAAAAAGACCCAAGCAGTGAAGTCCTAACCCCAAAGCCCCTATCAACACCTTTGTAGACAGTCAAACTCTAAGAACCTTGCAGAACCTCCGTCCAAGACCCCTTTAGAAGATAAAAAAACCTTCCAACACCCCGTCAGCCCAAACGCTGAACTCTCGACCCTATCTCCACCCTGAGCCATGAACCCTCAACCAGAAACATAAACCCTCAAACCCTGAACTCTCACCCTCAACTCGCAACAGTCAAACCCTAAACCCTAAACCCTAAACCCTAAACCCTCTCAGGAGGCACGCATCCTGGTCCGCGACTCCGCGGCCCTTGCGATGCAATGCCTCCGAAGCCACGGGGGCCGGGGAGGTGCCTGGGTTTAGGGTTTAGGGTTTAGGGTTTAGGGTTTAGGGTTTAGGGTAGGGTTTCTTCGAGGTACACAAAGGTCCGGGCAATCGGGTTGAGGGATTTAGTGCTTGAGGGTTTTCGCTCTAGGGATTAAGTTTAAGCTTCTGCGTCTAAGGTTTTGGGATTAGGGCTCGGGATTGTTTTGATTGCTTTGAGTGAAAGGTCGGCAAGTTTAAGTCTCGGGTTAGCTGTGTGAGGTTTGCCGGTTTGCAAGGGTTGACCATGTTCCATGCTGAAAGCAAGGCTCCTTGTAGTGAGGGTCTAGCTAGGTGGAGCTTTGGAACGTTTTTACATATCCTGTCTGGGCTGACTGAGGTACCTTTCAGAAATACTGCTGGGAGGCCTTAAAGTCTTAGAGACTTAAAGTACGACCCAGCTGGATAAAGCGAGGTCTTGGATCCCAAACCCTCAAATCCAGAAAACTGGAATCCTGCTTGCACTTCTCAGTCCTAACTCAGACAAAGAATGCGGCCCCCCATAATCCTGAGCCCGTCGTAAAGCACAAAACCCCACTACCCTAAACCCCGCCCCCCAAAGCCCTAAAGACGCCAGCGAAGATCACCAGGACTCAACTTTTATCTCAAAATGGTGCTGACCTTCTTGGATGTTGGTGGTGATGATTAGGCTCAGATCTGCTTTTCTGGTCATCCGTTTTCCTAACTTCTGACACCTGCATGTCGTTTTGGTAGCTACTATAGAAGCCTAAATGTTTCCCAATATGTTTCTTCCTTAGGGCTCTTTTTTCATACTATACGATAATATAGGAGCCCAAAACACAATGCCCCTATATATAACGGTCACCAGGCTGCTACGTAGTTCCTTGTCCGACCGAAGCTTGTCGCAAGTTGTCGTTATTATTATTAGTATTATTATTGTTAATAGTATTATGATTATGATTAGTATTATTAGTATGATTATTATTGTTATTATCGTATCTATCTTGTTTGTGTTCCTTCTCTTCCTCCTTTGTTCTGTTGCTTCTGCTGCTACTTCTGCTGTAGCCCAACGGACCTGCAGTCTACACCTGAAACCTTATAGCTTTAAGATTCAATCCGAACCCTCCCGAAGTTCTGAAATGTTCGTTAGCTTCAATTTCAAAACCTTGACAAACCTAAACCCCACAGCCAAAGCCACAACCCGAAATCCGACAGCTACGGCCCGAGCAGAGACCGGACCTCGACTCCTCGACTCACTCCCAGGCTACGCAGCCTCGGCACCGGTGCCACCACAGCCAGAGACGCCGCAGCCGGAGCTCCCAAAGCAGCCGGAGCCACCTGTGGCGGAGCCGCCACAGCCGGAGCCGCCACAGACAGAGATGCTGCAGGCGAAACCGGCAGCAGCGGCGTCCAGGCCAGGAATGTCAGAAGCTGTGCAGTGAGCATGCAAAGGTATGCGTCATGAAATTAAAGACATGAAACATGATGGATAGACAGATATTTATTTTGTCTGTCCTATTGGTTCTCGTTTCTCTCCCTCTCTCTCTCGCTCGTCCCTCGCTCTCGCTCTCGCTCTCGCTCTCGCTCTCGCTCTCGCTCTCGCTCTCGCTCTCGCTCTCGCTCTCGCTCTCTCTCTCTCTCTTTCTCTCTGTGTTTCTCTGTATCTCTCTCTCAGTCGCTCTCTCTCGCTATCTCTCTTTCTCTCTCTCTCTCTATCTCTCGTTCCCTATCTCTTTCTTTATTTATGTATATATCATTTGTTCATTTCTTTCGTTATTTCCTTAATTATTTCTTTATTTCTGTCTTTAGTTCTTTCTTTCTTTTTTATTTCATTTATTTGTGGCGTTCTGTCTTTCTTTATTTCTGTCTTTCTTCCTTTCTCTCTCTCTCTCTATCGATCTGTCTCTCTATCTATCTATCTATCTATCTATCTATCTATCTATCTATCGATCTATTTATCTAGCAATTTATCTATCTGTCTATCTACCTATCTACCTACCTATCTATTTATCTTTCGATCCATCCATCTATCCTTCCATAATGCATCTATCCATCTACCTATCCACCCATCCACCCATCCATCTATCTGTGTAGGTATCCGTCTATCTACCTATCAATCGATCTAACGACCTCTCTATCTATCTACCTACCTATCTATCTACCTATCTACCTATCTTTCTCTCTCTCTATATATATCTAATACAGATCTATTTATGCATGCATGTACTCATGAATGAACGAGTGAGTCAAGAAAGGAAGGAGTTCATGAATGTGAACGAATGAAGGAAGGCAGGAAGGAAGGAAGGAAGGAAGGAAGGACTTAATGAATGAATAAGTTTGAATGGATTCGAATGAGTTTTAATGAACGTGAATGCGTTTGAGTGTGTGAGTGAGTGAGTGAGTGAGTGAGTGAGTGAGTGAGTGAGTGAGTGAGTGAATGAATGAATGGACAAATGAATACATGAATGAATGGGTGAGGGAGTGAGTGAGGGAGTGTATATGTGACTGTATATGCGTACGTCGTGTATATGTGTATGTGTGTATATGCATACGTATATGTATTTGTATTTGTATTTGGTATACGTATGTGTATATCCAGATGAATATGTACATGTACATGTACAGGGAGGTAGGTAGGTGATTCTGAAGTTATGTATGTACGTGCGCACGTACGGCGGAGCCTTTAGATGCCGGGCCAAGGGTGATGGCCATTTTCGAGGGTCATTCGGCTTTGTTTCTAACCAGCGGGCCGGGGTGAGGCGGGGTTCGTAGGGTAGGATATCAAGATTGTGGGAGCGCTCGTTTACAAGCCCGTCATCATCATATACTTATACCAACATATACCACGTCTATGGCCCTAAGCCCTCGAGGCAAGAAACACGAGAAATCCTAAACTCTCGAGACTTACAATCTACACGTCGAGAGAAAGAGCGCCTAGGCTACGGTTGGAAAAAGCATCAGTGAGGGTTTAGGGTAAATAAGGGTTTAGGGTTTAGGGATGTTTAGGGTTCAGCACGGTTGAGCACATCCAGTTCACGATTCATGTGTTTAAGGTTTAGGATACGGAGATAATAATGAGTAATCCGCTTGCAACTTGTGGAAGCAGCTAGCGACAACAAGTGCGATTGGAAAAGGAGTCTGTCCAACGGGTGGCCAAATACAGGAGTTCCGCGTGCACCCTGAATTGCAGAGACAACTATTTGCAAAAGCAAGTCGGAAGACATACGTTTGCGAGAAGTTGTGTGGACGTAAATGTGAAAGAATACGGCTGCGCAAAGTTCATGGCAGCAATTACCATGGGAAACAGCGGCTCCAGCACATCATGACGATAGCTTGTGAACGAACACGTGTATTGTCCGGGAGTCGATATCACCTATCCTTTGTATTTACAGGGGGGGGAACACGATTTTGGAATGCTGGCATGTCTTTCTTGAGTCGTCCCAGCTGAAACCCTCACGCCCCAAAGCTTACCACTGAAAAGTAAACCTCGACAGGCTGAGGCCCTAAAGAATTAGTATAGGGGCGGAAATAATTACCAGGAAGTACCGCAAAACCCTAAACCCTAAACCCTAAACCCTAAACCCTAAACCCATTATTAAGGCTCTATATCAGACCGTGGAACCGAGAAACCGTATCCCCCAAGCCCTTAAGCTCTGAAAGCTCATCCTATTCCCTCTTACACTGCTTGTCGAGGGCGGACATGCCGATGGCCACGGTGCTGGAGTGCAAGGTGCAGGAGCCGTTTAATTATGGAGTTTCGGGTTGAAGACGCAGGTAGTTTGGATTTAGTTTTCAGGATTTACCCGAAGCCCCCAAGACCTATAAGGAAATCAGAATCAGGAAGCCTACAGAAGTAGGTTTCTTAGATCCAGGCAAGGTTTCGGGCCCAAAAGTTGGGTTTAGTTAGCTAGGGTTGAAGGCTTGATGGCCCGTAGCCGCGACCCCATCATTCCACTCGTGTTTGGTAGCTCTCGAAACTAGGGTCCTTCTTGAAGTCCTCAAAATAGTACGGCACCTTAATCAAACGGACCCTAAAAAGGGACCCTAANNCCTAATTTAGAGAACTACTCAAATAGAAATCATCCCACTCGTATTTTCGTTTCCCGAACACGTTTGGTCAACCCTGCGCCTAGCCGCAACACATCGGGGGCCTCAGAAGGTAGGATGAATGACTGTTTAGGGTTTAGTGGTTTAGG